AACATGGATGGAGCTGGAAGGGATCATGCTTAGTGAAATAAGCCAGAAAGAAAAAGAAAAATACCTGATGGTTTCACTCATAGCAGGAACATAAGGGATACAAAGTAAACATGAAAAAAATGAACAGATATAAACAACACAATTTATGGAGGTGGGAGGGGGAATGGGATGGGAACTGGAGTGGAAAGTGTGCCCTGGACTGTGGTGATGGCACACAGGTGAATGAGTGGTGGGAAGCCCATGGGGATTACAACTGATTGAAAAAGCGCACAAAATTAAGAATGATAAATAAAAAAGAAAGAAATGATACCTACTCAATTCTTGTGAGGAATAAATCAGGTTATATATGTAATTTTACTGTGGTACAGTTGTGTGGTAGACTCTCAATAAATGAAAATCTTTTCTGTCTTCAAAAAAGAGAAAATACTAGCATATGTAAACAGGCAGGACCAAAATAAAATGTTAAGAAAGCCAAATATCAAAATTTATATAAGTGACATATTACAATTAAGGAATGTTAAATTGTATGTGATTTTTATTTATTTGCATTTATTGTATAGCTTTTTTTAATGACAATACTAAACATATAATAAAACAATTTACTCTGGTGCAATTAATATTTAAATAAAATTAAGTTACATAAAGCTAAAAGGTAAAAACATATTGATTAATTGCTAACCTGGCATTTCTTCTGTCCTGGAGTCTTTCATGAATCGAGCAGCACTTTGACCAAATGGGGTATTTTGCAGGGCTGGTGTTTTCTTCAAGGGCTTGAAAGCAGTTCGATATTCATTATATGTGCCTGGGGCTGGAGTGATAGACTTTCTAGGTAAAAATCTCTAGCAAAAATGGGAAAATATGCCAATGAAAACCTTCAGCACATAGTGATATTTTGTGAGTTAAAGCTGTCTTTTTAGTAATTTAAGATTAAATTTAACTTTTTAATGAAGTAAAGAAAATGCAGGTGAATTAAGATCTTATAGCTATCAAAATTTGGGGTAGTAGTTTCACTCAAATTTTCATCTTTACACACTGCTAAAATTGTAATATTATTTAATTTCACTTACCCACACATTTTATAACAAGATCTGCACAGGTCATGTCTGTTTCCAATTTATACAAATGCCATTTTTCTTTTTCAGAAGATCCCTGAACACCACTGTATTTGTTACCGGCTATACATTATACTTATCATTCTCTATGCATGAAAATGACTGAACAACATTACCTGGGATTGAGAAAGAAAAGCAGTAGATACATTATTTGCATTTGGTTTCATATTTTCAATCTGCTGAAATTGGCTTTTAATGTCATATTTTCCAGGGCCTGGTACACCCTAAATTACAGGAAGAAAACAATATATCTTGTCATCAAGAAAGCAACTATCTATAAATGTAGTTTATCACATCAGCAAAAGGAAGAAAAAAATCACATGTTCATATCAATAGATGTTGAGAAAGCATTTGCTATGAGTTAGCATTCATTTATGATAGAACCCCTTAAAAACAGCGGATAAGGCCCTCCCTGGTGGTGCAAAGGGTTAAGACACAGCACTGCAAGCTGGCTGCAGCAACTCCAGTGCTGGTTCAATCCTCCACCTGTAGGTGATCCACATGGCGCAGCAGACCTCTCCTTTCTTGCTGGCTGCTCCCCTCAGCAGTGTAATTAGTCAATCTGCCTGTTCTGTTCCCCACTCTCTCTAGTGAAGCCTCTCACTGCCCCTGCACCTCTGGCTTCTGTATGAATAAATAAATCAATCTTTAAAAAAAATATTATTCTAAAGTTATTTAAAAAAAACTGAGGTAAATGAAATTTCATCTTAACATAATAGCCATATATGACAATCCAAAGCTAGCATCATTCTCAATAGTGATAAACCAAAACCTTCACAAAATGTTCTGAGACATGAGAGAATGTCCACTCTCAGCACTTCTAGTTAATATAATATTAAATAAAGCCCTAAATAAAGCAATTGTCAGGCAAATGCAATAAAATTTATTCAAATTAGGAAAGAAGAGATCCTCATTTGTAGATATGATAATACCCATAGGGAAACTCATGACTCCATGAAAAAAAAATAATTGAAACAATAAGCTTGTTTAGCAAAGCATCAGGATACAAAATACTAACACAAAATGGTTGCCTTCCCATGCACAAAAAGATGAACCTAGAAGAAATTAAGAAAGCCATGCTATTTTTTTTAAAGATTTATTTATTTATACATACAGAACTGGGATACAGGCCAGAGGTGCAGGATGGTGAGAGGATTCACCAGAGACAGAGCGGGGAGCAAAACAAGCAGATCGACGAAGTACACTGCTGAGGGGAGCAGTGGGTGGGTCAGGAGAGGTCTGCTGGCATGTGGTCACTTCCAGGGCAGGCGGGGATGGAACTCATGCTGCAGTGGCTTTAGCTTCTTAGTGCTGTGCTTTAACCCGCTGCACCATCAGGGAGGGCCAAGCCATTCTATTTTAAGTTATATCAAAAATTTAAATACTTGGAAAAGACCTCAAGAAAGAACAAAGTATATACACTAGATAAAGGAAATCCTCTTCAACAAGAGGTGCTGAGAAAAATGGGCTGCCACATGCCAAAGAATGACACTAGACCACTATTTCACACCATATATAAAAGTCAACTCCAAAGGAATAAACTTGTATGTAAAACCTAAAACATAAAATATGTAGTTAAAAAAAAAAAGAAGAGAAAAAAACTTCATGACACAAATTATAGAAACATCTTTGCAGACTTATCTCCATCAGCAAGAAAGACAAAGGAGAAAAAAATAACTAGGACAGATCCTCCCTGGTGGTACAGGAGTTAAAGTCTCAGTGCTACCAAGCTATCACTTGCCACCAAAGCATGAGTTCAATCCCCAGCCAGGGAGCTAACACACAAGGTGCAGCAGATCTCTCCTGTATTGCCTACTGCTACCCTCAGCAATATATTTCAGTGGATCTGCCTGTTCTGCACTCCACTCTGACTCTGATGAATCTTCTCATGTCCTGCACCTATAACCTACATCCCAATTCTTGTATGCATAAATAAGTAATAAATCAATATTTCAAAATAAATAAATAAATGAGACTATATCAAATTAAATACCATCTGAATAGTGAGAAAGGGAGTGACCAAAACAAAGATACACTCTATTGAAAGGGAAAATATTGGCACACCATATATCTGGTGATATATAGATATAAAAGATGTGTAAAGAGCTCACAAAACTCAAAAATGAAAATAACTCAATCCAAAAAATGGCAGAAATGCTCAATAAACACTTTTCCAAAGAAGCCATGCAGATGGCAAACAGGTAGATGAAAAAAGCTTATTATTATCTATCATGAGAGAAATATGATTCAAAACCACAATGGAATACCATCTCATACTTGTGAGACAGCCCATACTAAAGAAGTCACAAACAACAAGTTCTGACAAGGGTGTTTGGAAAAAGAATAAGTCCTACACTGTTAGCGGGAATGTAGACTGGGCCAACTAATATGGAGAGACATTTGGTGTTCCATAAAACACTAAATGTAGATCTGTCATAAGAACCAGCAATTTCAGTCCTAGATATCTACCCAGTGAGCACAAAAACACTAAATTGAAAGGAAAATTGAACTCCTATGTTTATAGCAGCTCTATTTACAGTAATCAATATAAGGAAACAACCTAAATGTTCCACAACAGATGAATGAATCAAGAAAATGTAGATTATATACACAACAAATGTTACAAAGCATTCAAAAAAGATAAACTCATTCGGTATCTATCCATAGCAACATGGATAGAACTAGAAGGGATTATTCTACTGAATGGTTTCACTTATATGTGGAATCTACAGAAACCAAACAAAGGATCAAAGACAAATTATAAGACTTACCTTTGAAGGAAGACAATATACCTGAGATATTCAGGATTGGATGAGAAGGTAAATAGTAGAGAACAGGGAGGAGGAGAGCTATAGTGGATGTTTACTGTTGCTTTATAATGTGGAAACTATGGTAATAAGCACACCTAACAAGAGAAATCCTACATTCATTTCAAAAATAAACAAGAGCATTAAAAAATTTTAACATTTTTAAGAGAAAGTATTTAGAGCACCTAAAAGAACAGCTGACTAAATATCTCAATCAAGCCATAGTTTTAAATGATTTCCTATACACTAAACCACTTTAATATAGGTAAGACAGAACAAATTTCTTGACAATTATAAAAGGGGGACTCAGCCACCAGCACCTCCCAGCAGACTGGTGCATGGGCCTGGGCATTCCAGGGCCTTACTTACATTAGAGATCCTCAGCAACACCATAGTAAACACCCTTAAATATAGACTCAGTCACCAGCTCCTCAAAAATACCAAGAATGAAAGTATAATAAGAAAATAAGGGAACTGACCCTGGGCAATCCATTGATAGGTGGGAGCCATAGGAGTTCCACCCTTTGGTCCCAGAAGACTTGACACCACGAAAGACCACCCATCCTTGGGTGGGAGCCACAAAGGCCCTGCCCACTGACCCAGCATGCTGAACTACGGGGGTAGCAGGACAGCCAGAATTTCTGCCCAATAAACTCAGTAGTCCATTATTAGCCAGGATTTGTGGAAGATCCAGAAGGTCAATCCACCAGACCATGGCCCAGATAAGTCACAACAAAGAATTAACAACTGGAGAAAACATAAAGGCAAATAATAGGAGAAAAAAATACAAATTCTCAAGTAAATCCTACAGGGAGCAATAATACACAAAAGGGAAAACAGTCTCCAGAACATAATACTGACATGGAAGAATTTTCCCCCTTTTCAGATGCAGAACTCAAAATGCTGTAATTAAAAAAGTAAAAGAATTTGAACAACCAAACAAAACATGGGAAAACCAGTGAGAGATAAATCAGAAGATGTTAAAAAGGAATGTTATGAGAAACAATCAACAAGAAGATCAAGATTGAAATTTAAGTAAGAAAAAAAAAAAGAACTGAAAGATGCTGAAAAAAGATCAATGAATGAGGTGGAAAATTCAGGTAAAAAAAAAAACATAGAAATAGAATAGCTGATATAGAAGAATGAATCAGTAACCCCAAAGAAGCAGATAAAAAAAAAAGTTTCAAAGGAAAAAAGAATGAATAAACATTTTGAGAATTATCTGACACCACCAGTAAAGGAAATATTAGAATTTAGGAATAACAGAAAAGAGCTGACAAGATAGTCAAGGAAATAATTGAAGAAAATTTCCAAACATAAAAATAGAAAGTGAATATACATACAGGAAGTACAAAGGATATAAAATTACCTTAATAAAAGTAAATATGTAAAAAGACACATAATAGTAAATTTTCCAAGAGTTCAGGGAAAAAGGAAATATAAAGAAGCTATCAAAAGAAAAGAAATAAATAAATTATGAATTTTACATTAACAACAAACTTCTCTGAAGAAACACTTTGGGCAAGAAGAGACAGAATAACATATTGTAAAACTTCAAGACAAAAAAAAAAAAAAAATCCTGCACCATCACCACAGTCAGGTGTGCTCCTCATTCCTTCCTTCAGATTCCTCTCATTCCCCCTCCCTAGCAGTATTGTCTCTGTTTCATAATTATTTGTTTCTGTTTTTTGTTTTGTTGTATTGTGTTTTTCTATTGTTATTTGTCCTCTATGTCTTATCTGGTTCCCCTATACTCCTCCTATAAGGAAAACCACCCAATATTTTTCTTTTTTCTTCTGACTTATTTCACTGAACATTATACCTTCTAGCTTAATTATGTTACTGCAAATGGCATGAATTTATCTCTTTTGATTGCTGAGTAGTATTCCATTGTGTATATAACCACATCTTCTTGATCTA